AAATGCCTTATTTTAGGGTCATTGTCCTAATTTTTAAACTGTTACGATCTTGTTTCTTTACGTTGTAGCTCTTTCTCCTTCAATTGCATGGAATATACATGGTTACAACACCAGCCAGACGAGTTTATTTGTTGACTGGAGCAACGTACCAGGAGACTTACAAGCTGATTTCTTCATTTTGTCCTTGAATCAAACGAGGCCACAGTTATATTACAAAGATGGAAGAACAACTTCGTTTCTTCGTATAGCGGACTCCTCGAACACATCAATTAATGTGCCAAACCTCCCGGTATTCAGTCAGTACATAGTCCTTGTTTACCTGGTTGATGTGAATGGGGACGTCTATAAAAGTGATACCATAGTTGTCCAAACAGATGAAGGTGGTAAGTTTATCATTATGCCAGGTTCTATTTACGATCAGCTGCTTGTTAAAGCTTTAAGAAGAGATATTAGAAGCAGTGTTAATTGACAGTTAGACGTATCCAAGATTGAAAGTTCCTTTGTACAACAACTTGGACTTTCAATCTAACCTGTGGTCAGGCGTTCTTTTTGTAACAGCCAAAAAAAAAAAAAAAAAAAAAAAAAAAAAACAGAACTCCAACAATGCTGTTGGATACATCAAAAAGTCATTCCATTACTTTTAATATTTCTTGTTTAAGAGCCGTTTTAAAGATGTACCATTTCACGTCTCAAATGCCTCTATCGAAGAAATAAGTTAAGAGGAAGGCGAAGTAATAGCGTGCTTTGCTCTATGTGTTGTTATTTACTCTCTCTGTCAAGAATTCGTTCTTGTACCTAATCGTACCTTTTTACCACGCTTCAACGGCATATCAGGCGAGTTTGGTCATAATTCGTCGTATTTTGCCGAGACGTGGTCAAGCACAAATATCCATGCAATTCCGAGGCCAAAAGAACCTGATATCCCGCCGAAGCGTACCAATAAAAAAGTGCGATTAGGTATTTACCGTACCCAAATTCAGCCAACTGACCATGATATCGTAGCCATATCAGGCCACTGACTTGAAATTGCAGAATATCTCACAGTAGCCGGGGATTTCGGAATTTGGTTACCGTAATACCAAATACAGAAAGGGATTGCATTCGTGCGACAAATCCTTATAGCAGATTCAGAATCCTTGCCTTTCACTGACTTATTTTTGAGTTTTTATTTCCTCAGTACCTAGATCAGGACCTTATTTGTACAACTGGAATATGAACGTTCGTGATCACAGCATCAGCTTTACCCGGGAAGATATTCGTCCTGAAGACGCTCAAGGAAGAATACTGGGCTATAATATCACATACGTTTCTCTTAATGAACCGAATACGAGTATCAACACGATGAAGACAGATACAAACACAACAACAATTACGTTAAGCAACCTGAAGGAAGGATCGACATACTTCATTGCTGTCGCCGGCTTTACCAGAAAAGGAATTGGGAAATATAGATACGCTGCAGCAACATGTAAGTTTTAAAATAACGTATTGATGTCTCCTAAAACGGTTAAAGTTCAGCCTCCTGGTTAACCAGTCTTTCCTCTTCAACGAACCTTGGGGAGAAAAGATTGTGACCAGCCATAAAACAAGAAAAAACAAACAAACAAAAGCAAAACCAAACCAACTACTGTNCCCCCCCCCACCCCACAAAAAAATTTAACAACTTGAAAACGACAATAACGTAACTAAAATAACAATCACATTGGGGTCAAATTCAAAATGCGTCAAAAGGTCTTGACTCCGCATTTGATTGGCTGACTGAGGTAGAAAATCGTAGGATCGAATTAAGAAAAACGATGTGTGCCATGGGAACATCAAGAAACACTGACAAATAATTATGGAATGTCACCGTAGAATAAAACAGGAATTATTAATGAAAGTGAGAAAAAAAACCAACTGAAAACTGAAATCTTTTAAGTGATTAAAATCAATGTCTTCTCGAATTATTCTCACCTGATTTTATTTTAGTAGTCTTAATATACAGAAACGATAATAATATTAACTATATCTTTAATCTTAAATTAACTTTTATTATTGTTATTTAATTAATCTAGTTATATGCATAAGCGATTTATGGCCCGCCTAGATCAGCACTTGCTATCCGCAGGCCAAATAACATGTAATTTTAAAATGAAAGAAAACAAAGAAAATTGTTGTTGTTTCTTTTGAAAGTTCTGGCGGAACTCTCGCAGGGAAGGGTTGGTAGCAGCCTAGCTATCCCGCTGCCGTCGTTTCTTGTCCAAAGCCGGGTTAACCCAGATATCTAATCTTAGTAGGAATCAAACTTTAACTCCTCGACTTTTGCGAAGGAAAAGGAAAAAAAAAAAGAACATGCATGGAAAACCATGTCGAATGGAGGTATGCGTAACAAGAGGTTATTGTAAGTTTCCATAACAGAGCGAGCATTTTAGTGACTACAATCCTAGTATGTTTATTCATATTGTCAATTTTGAGTCTTCTCTTCCTCAAGACAGTATTACGTTCTAGTACAGACTTGACTTTCCCGATACTTTTACCCCGTATTGACTGAGATTGTCCTCCTCGTTTTCACAGTGTGTGGTAGCTACCTAACAGAGGATAGCGGCAACTTCTCCAGCGCTAAGAATGTCATCTTCGATGCTTACTATTTTGTATCGTACCAAGAAACTCGCTGCCTGTGGAAGGTCAACCCTAAATCCGACACATCGATTATATGGTTGACGTTTGCTGAGTTTTCTCTCGGTCAACAAAACGATGGCTATTGCAGGTAAACCACTTATGTCCAAGATTGAACGTTAATAAGATGCATACATACTGGCCTTATGATGAGCATCACAAAGTGTCATTTTCATATCACTTTACACTTAAGAGAATTATCCTTGCATACAGCGGCTGAGCCCGCAGCACGAGCGGCAGTCAAAACTGAGCTGTCCTACCGAAACGACACGAAATAGCCTTTTTCTTCCCAGCTAACAAAAATAGAGACAATGCTAAAGTTGTTTTGAACCAGTCATTCTTGAGAGCTTCCATCACTTAAGCTTTGCCTGCTGCAGTCTGTCAGCTGTCCATTATTGTTTATCTTTAGACTGCAAGAAACTTCGTATTAATGAAGTCTGTTTCTTTTTTCTTTTTTTCTTTTTTTTCCTTTTTTTTTTTTTTCCTTATTCTTTCATTAAATATCAGTGGAGGAGTTCGTATTTCTATCCCAGGAACAGCGGGTAATGATGATGCTGATTACTACGATTATGATAATAATGAGCGGTTTCTTTTGGATGTCTGCGGCCAATTAACAAACGAGACGTTGCTGATTGAAGGAACGGGCGTAAAACTTCGTGCAGATGGTTTCAGAGACTATAAGTATGGTCCTAAAGTCAATAACTCAACAGTCGTGGGACATTACAAAGCCGAACAAAGAAATATCACCGACATAACAGGTACATGTAAAACCTATACTGTTTTGGCAAATTTGTACTAAATAAGCAGTAGAAGCCATTAAGGTCCTGAGTATACTGCGATACCGCATTACGAAATTAAAATTACCGAAATACCGCAAGAAAAATTGTCCAATACCGCGATACTGCAAACCCCAATGTCTCCCTCTGTAACATAATTACGGCTCTCTCCAGCTATCATAATAGATCATGACTATATCCTCCCGGGCCCCAGCGGGAAGTCTGTGTTAGTTTTATATTTGATTGCACGTTCGTTTATAGTTCAAAGCGTACGAGAGGGGCTGGACCTTATTAAGTGTCTGATACACTACGAGTAGTTCCTCTTTCGGAATCAAATGTCTGACGGCAAACTTTCCATATTGCCATTGTTTGAAAAGTTTCAATATGCCGTTATGGTTTTGGACACAAGATGTACTCCTGGAAAGAAATGTGCACGTAAGGGCTAATTTAAGGATAAAGAAAAACAAAATAGGTAGTAATAATAGGCTAATTTAGTCTCCTTGTTTAACTTTACCATATTTTGCTTTAATCAGGAGAGACATTAGACTCTTGGACTGGGATTCAAGCCAATGCCAGCAATTCATCTATAGATCTGTCATGGACGCCGCCTCCGAGTAGTTTTCTCGGCGTTTCCTCAGTTCAAAAATATCTCATACTATACAGGCCTATTTCTGCGCGAGGTTATTACAGGGCGCTTTGGTTGCCTGCAGGCAAAACTCAGATGAAGATCTCAAGACTGGAACCTTTTACCAACTACAGCTTGATTTTGGTCGCCATTCTAACTGACGAAAGTCAACGTGGTAATACTGGTCAAGTACTACAAACTGAGGAAGGAGGTAAACTTGATTGATATAATATGATGCAAAGATTAGAATGAATAATGGGCGAAAAACAGGACATTCTTTGTTCAATTGAAGGTCCATGTATTTGAGTAGGTCTTTTGATTAACATTAAAAACAAAAACCTCGCTTGGTCATCGAAGCCTGTGCATATTTTCTTTCCTTAAGAGCCTTTGAAATTTATCCACAATAGAGTAGTAACAGGTGCATATTTATAACACAAGCTTAATACCTCTATGTATGTACATGTATTCATTCATTCCTCTTCCCACTGGAACAACCTTCACACGGACGTGTGGTTTTTTTCTTTTGGCTTTCCCAGGGCTCATGGTTTCCTCTGAACCCCCCCAGGATTGGTCCCAATTACATTCATTCAATTTTGTTCTATTGTATTTTAGTGCCAGCCAAAAGTCCTTACTTCAATGATTATCGTGCCATTGATTACAACACGATTTGGATTAGGTGGGAAAGGCTGTCACCAGAGTATGCTCGCGGCATTTTGAGAGGATATCGAATATATTACATCTCTGCTTACAAGTACTACGACTACGGCAAGTCTGTCAGCAATATAACGGTCGGCCCTGACATACTGGAGATGACAATTACTGGACTTCAGCCGAATACCGATTATAGAGTATGGGTAAAAGCGTTCACGTCTAAAGGAGAAGGAAGTGGCCAGAACACAGCGTATATCAGGACAAGTAAGTCATTTCTTTGCAGTAAAATAATCAGTGTATCCGCATGTATATTTTATGCACATTTATGTTTGTAAAGATTATATTTATGTATCATCAAGCCATTGCTTATCTCTGGTTTCTATGTAGCATGAAGCGACTAGGAGTGTCTCTACATCTATGGACGCTCGTCTATTGCAAGGTTATCCCCCAGCATTGAACTCGCCAGTGCCCATTTATACAACTGGGTGGAGAGAGGCACTGTGAGCGTTAAGTTTCTTTCCCAGAACAAACAGCACAATGTCCCAAGTTAGGGTTCCAACCCGGACCGCTCGATCCCGAGTCGAGGGCACTAACCATGAGGCCACCCCCAGCTCCCACTATGAGCCATTATACCATGCTCTACGAATATGCAAAATGTACACGCGATTTATTTTTCGGGAGCGTTTTCAACGAAAACAATTTTTCAACTCGCACTTGTTTCTATCATCTCGTATCCAACGTTCGTTCGTGGAATAATTGTTAAATCAAACAAGGCCTATTGGTTAAAAACGCTGCAGTTGAACGTTCCAGTACTAGTCGTACAAGTCACATATGCTCATTATCAGCCCTTTAACTCTAGTACCTTATATTAATCAGGTGTACAGAAGTTATTAAAAATTCGTTATTATTTTCCTCAGAATGTGGATCAGCAATACGCAACAGTTCAGGGGCTATTCAAAGTCCTGGGTTTCCGAAAAGAANCATTGCCTAATTCGAACTTTTGACATCATTGTATGCAATAACCATTTTCGTCTATTTCTTTTAGTTCCTGTAGTTAACGACTGGAATATCAGCATCTTGACCACAGGATCGACAAGCATGAACGTCTCTTGGGCGTACTATGCCCCCGATGATCCTTACGTGTTATTTCTGTATGCTGTTATATGTACACCGACCAACCAAGATGCTGGGCCGACTGTAGCGACAGCTATTATAACACAGATACAGTTAGAGGTACTGCGACTTAGAGCAATAACTGAATACAGTGTGCAGGTCCTGGCTTTAACAGCTCACAAGATTACTGGAACATTGAGTTTCAAAGGAAGTCAGATACTCACTGTCAGCACTGTAGATGGAGGTAAATATTGGTCATAAAATATTACCTTTATCAGCTTTCATTAGATAGTTATTCTGAATTTTTCGGGTGAAAATATCAATTATGTGAGTCCACAACCTACCAAGAGTACGTAGAGATGATCAGGATAGGGATCCGTGGCCCAAGATCAAGCGGAACATGGTGCCTCATTCTTGAATCATTGTTCCTGATCCGGATCATCCCAATGAACCGCACGATACACTGTAAGGGACTAACCGACAGTAAATAGAGTATCATCGAGTTTCCAAGACGAAAAGTTCCCCTCCAAAACATATATTCGTATGAAAGGGTATCTGTACTAAACAGAAAGAAAATGAATCATAGAAATTTGGCAGCTATGGAACAGTGTTTTGCCTTCATGGCAGGTATATATCTAGGTACAATATAAGACTAATATAATATACTGTAATTACTTTTGTTATTTTTCAGTCCCAAGCGAGTCGCCCGGTAACGTGACTGCACTAAGTCCTGATTCGAACTCTATAAACGTATCTTGGTCTCACATCGCAAATGATAGTGTGAACGGAAAGCTACTAGGGTACAAGATTTTCTATCGCACCCTCTTAGACGATGGAAATTATTCAATGGTTACAGTTGGACCATCCACCTTGCAAGTCATTATTAGCAAATACTTTATTTATACTGATATCTATGAGGTCAGGGTTGCAGGGTTTACAGCCGTTGGCGTCGGAGTGAAGAGCGAGTCGGTGCTAGTCCAACCAGGTAAAGGACTTCTTGCATGACAGTTAATTTTCTGAGAAGAAGCCCCCGGCCGTACAGGAAATTTAAAATAAGCTATTAATGATGAGTATTTTTTTTTTTTGAAATAAACTAAAAGTCTCTCGCATGTTTTTAGCTAATGTTATCGCCAATAAGATTACAGACACAGTACTCTCAATAACGCATCAGTGTGGGTGGAAAATTCCGCCAAAATGTCTGCACCTTGCATATTAAAGGCATTTTCTTTAGAATGACGTCGAAAAGTAAAAACTCAAAAGACAGAATTTCATCGAAGGAAATCTTAAAATCATTAAGAAATTAGTTTATTGTCATAGACACTCCTAAGGACTTCTCTTCAAAACCAACAAGTTTCCGTAAGCGAAGCCTCATAAACAATGAATAATTTCTCCTTTTATAACAATACAATACAGTGTTTTTCGCGGCGGGGCCTTGTAGTCACTCTTCGCCCATGAAAAATATAACTTCATTCAATCAGTTTAAGCCAACAAGAATCGAAGAAATTAGTTTTAGCAGTGAACCGTAACATCGAATAATAATAGTAAAGCAGTCATTTTCACGGATTTCCAATAGAGCAGGCCGGATGCCTATTACGAACAACTGTTGTTCAAAGTGGGGCGCCATTAGAGAGAGTTAGTTAAGCTTACAAAATAATGAATAGACAGCTTATGAATGGTACTGCAACGTTGTTAATTCGAAAATTATCCTTACTTTTTCCAAGTTACATTTAATTAGGCTGTAAGTGATGAATTGGTCCTATTTCATACGACGTCCGCGCTCTATAACGCTTCATAGTTTTGCTTTGAATTTCATTTTAGGCTGTATGCGGGGCTATGTTTACGAAACAATGGGTAAGATAACAAGCCCTGGATTTCCAGAGGACTATCCAAATAATGTAGTTTGTTACTGGCTTATTGCACCTGGGTTACTGGAGTACCGACTTGTCCTTGCCTTCGATACTTTCAATACAGAGGACATAGATGGAAAACCGAACTGCACGTAAGTATGTACGTAAGTAAGTACGTAAATAAGCTGTTTATTCCAAAGAATAAGTGATTTTATCTAGATTGTGACGTTTTCATCCTCAGAGATTCCGGGAAGTTGATATATGGGTTCTGTAGTGGGCTCTTCGTGATTTCAATATCTTTTCAATGATGGATCTCGACAAGCGAATACAGAGCTCAACTGAAAGCATCAAACCTATGTTTAACTTAATGTAAGTGTTAATCAATTTGGTACGAGCAGGATAAATAAAGGACTGGAAGCAAAAGTACTTCTGGTACGTGCAGGTAGATTAGATAAGTAATAACGTTGGCTGTATTTACCCTTGAGGGGTAGAGGTTACGTAAAAGCTAATTACCACTGACCCAGGATTAAAAAAAGGTCAAAGTTTACATTTCTCCGCCCTTATATGAAAGTGCTCTACATCAATTATGGTCTATGAAGCCTGTGAGAAATAGCAATTAATTAAAACTGTAGGTTGAAAGTGGCAACCGACGAAGTTAACGACGTGGCCTAGTGATCCTAAAACAGGCAGATTTTGCCGAACTCTTTCAGGATCAAGACCATATGATTCTATTGGAAACGTACCTAGTAGTAAACCCAGAAGAATTGTGATAAAAGTTGATTTGTTTTGGTAAGAGTTATGAAGAAGCAATAGATGTTGAATTGACGTCGTTCCTATCGGGGTGTCGTGTAGGTCAACAACAGACGGATTTAAAGTGCAGTTCAATATTTTCAAAGATTTCATCTGAAAATGTTAATTTTTGACGCATGCCTAACAGACTAAGTTCTCAAAGTCCCTTATCTTCAGGTTCCAACTCGCCGAAAAATGTCGGTCTCGGTGATATTAGATTGTGCATCATAGAAGCATTGTATTGTTCTCGGTTCCTGTTTCAGGAATTTCAAGAATGACCACATCCTAGCCGGAACATTGTCCAATGTTGGGCGTACTATTCCACATTGCGGAAACAGGAATCCGTTTGCTTTAATCATTGAAGCCAACTCTTCCAACCCAGTAGGAGTGCTATTCCAATCCAATGTTGACTTAGTAGAGCAAGGATTCAACGCCAGTTATTTTGCTGTAGACAAGACTCCAAAGATTTGTAAGTACCTTGAATAATTAACTAAAGCTATCTCTAAAGAATTATCAAATACTTGTGAAAATTACAAAAAAAAAAACAACAACAAAAAAAAGTTGTTCTTGGCAAGTCTGACCCAGTGTTTCGTCTCACCAAAAGTCTCTTCAGAGACCTTTGAGATTTCAAACAGCAAGCTCGTGGAACATCGCTCTCAAAGTCCCGTTCGCAAATTCTGCGATAGAAAGCCAGATTGCTAATAGCAATCTGGCTTTCTATCGCAGAAAGATTCGCAACCGCACGCTTACAACGCTTATCAATAAAGGGCAAAATTACTGAGCGCTGATTGGTTGAGAGAGAGGGCATTTTTTCTTAATCGAGGGCATTTTTAGTAATCAAGAGAAGGCATGATTACCTGTTGACGATTGGTTAATCCGTTGCATAGATTTTGCCCTTCATTGATAAACAAGTAATCGCATGAGTCCTCGTACTATTAAGGATTAATTGCACTTGTGTTTTCAAAATTTTCCAAATTGCCCTCGTCGCTTCGCGACTCGGGCAATTTTGGAAAATTTGAAAACACTCGTGCAATTAATCCTTAATAGTACTCGGCCTCATGTGATTACCTATACTTACAAGTTCATCCACTGTTATTTTATACATCAATAAAAGAGATCAAATAGCCAACGGTAACAGTACCACAATTCAATGGTCTTTTGTAAGTCATCTGAAAAGTTCTTTTGTGCTGTGTAGATTTAGTTACTAAAACCATAATTCCATTTGAGCTACGTACACTTCACAATTAGCCAGTTCAATGACATGTCCGCTCTTCGAATTCGGTTTGAGTTGTTAATAAGTCAAGATATCAATAAATTATTCTAAACAATAACCAGGATAATGAAATCAATAAATTCTTCTTCTAATTTGGTTCTCGGAAATGCTTTGGGCACAAATTGTTTTTTCATTTATTTAACATCACTTACCATAGACATAACCTATAAATAACACTTAAATAGACCTTTCCCGCATTCCACTTCAGTGCGTACGAACAATAGCACCAGAGCGAGGTTGGGGTGGACATTTTCATACATTTGCTGTAATTTTGTCCACGCTGACCTCGACTCGGTGCCATTGTCTTGTAAGTATCTTACAAATCGGAGTGCAATATTTACCTATTCTCTTAGGAATTGTGATGGCAAACTAGCTGTTCCACTCCCCAGCACCAATTTTCTAAAAAAAGTTTCAGCTATAGTGGTGCGGTGCTGTGGAACAGCTTACCTACCGATCTGCGGCAAGCACAAACTCTTGCTAGTTTTAAATCCGGCTCCAGGGGTTTCCTTTTTCATAGTAAATAAGCTAACTAATCACACGGCATTCATGGAAAGCAGGCACTTCGTTATTGTTTTTATTTTTGTGGTTATTAGATTTAATTGGTAGTAGATTAGTATCTTGACAATGTAATTAATGCAATTTTAGAATTTACTTTAAGTCCTGACGTTTTACCCGTGTATAAATAAATTTAAATAAATAAATATAAATAAATAAATTGTCTGTTGGAATGCGGGAAAGGTCTATTACGCAGAAAAAAGAATTAACAAATGGCGAGGAAACCTAATTCACTACCCAGACAAGCACATTTTTCGAAACCTGCTTTCGTTCCAATGCTTGCCTCCTCTAAGAGACCGCATGGCTAAGAAGCGTTATGAAATGAAAACCACTATAGTTGGCGATGTGAATAAGGTTTATAGGAAGAATTTATTGATTGATTTATTTTATTTTTGTAAATTCTAGCTGTCAGTATTGTCGATGGAAGTATCACCGGCCACGAGGTCACTTTAACATTGCTCCCCTTTGCTGATGCCAATCAGATTGAGAACTACATCGTGCTTTACAAGCCCGCGTTGAATGAAAAGCGGGAATGGAAATTCAAAAGAACTGAAAATACACAAATCACACTACGATCACTGAAGGGACTGACTAAATACAAAGTAATGGTACTGGGATATACGTCAAACAAAGACACTTATGGAAGTCAAGAAATTACCTTTGAAACCTTAGAAGGTATGTAACACGTTGAAAAAGTTTTACCTTAAAAAAAACTCAGGGGCGGGAGTAAAATACATCCTTGTTTTCGCTGAGAAGGAAATGAGGTTAATCTTCTTAGAACGGCATAATAGCTTAATACTGATACTGATACTTTATACTGGAGCAACCGGGCTTGTTACACCCCCAGCTTAAACAGCTAATAAGTCGTGTCAAAGAAAGTATAAAATCTAACAAAAAGAAATTTTATGTGTACATGTACTCCAGTTTTGTTTGATGTAATAACTTATTCATTTACTTTTCCTTTAGCAACAGAGCCAGAAACGACCACTCCGTCAATAACTACTCCAACGCCAGGTTAGCATACATGTGTAAGGGAGAATAAATTTGATATTAAAGATGGAACGGAACACCCATTCCTGTCCAGGTCCAGTCATGCCCCAAAGAGACACGGCTGAGTTATAGTCAGTGGCTCAGTGATACTGTTTTGTAAACACAACCTGGCCGGTGTTAGAAAAAACTGACCTTAAGTTATTATCAACAGAAATACTTGGGGTAAAGTTAGATTCACTTGATATATATCCCGCAGAAATAAGATAGAGACCAACATTTTTATACTATCGAGCGCTGTCCCGATGCAAAGACTATAATTTTGTACGATCTCATTTACATGGTGGAAGATTTCCAGAGGGGACCGTCTGTCGTGCTCTTTTGTTGTTAATTTGGGTAGGAAAAAAAGTTAAAAGTTTGGGAAAATTCTAAATGCGTAACTACTACTGCTACCGACTTTGTTTGTTTGTTTGTTTGTTTTTTAGTGATAGCTTTGCTTTAACTGTCGTAGAGAAGGTGTTAATGTATTGGGAAGGAATTCAACTTTATTGATAGATGATGTTTCCTTAGAACCCATTACCCTGATGTACCCGTATGGAGACGCCGCCGGGGATTCTGTTATTGCATTCGACATCAGCGGAAAGAAGTGTTTTAGGATAAATATCCCTGATGGGGGCATGGCATTCTTTGGTAAACGACACAGGAAACTCCATGTAAGTCTTCTAGCTCGTTCAACCACAAATAGCCCCCACTATTATTTTTTACGATAACTGCAGAAATTCTCGCACGATCATTGGCTAAGTTTTATTGTCAGTACTCGGACAGACACATGATGACTTATGATCACTTGTCACCTTCAAGCTAGAAAATGAATATCAAGTGGGAGAAAATGAACAGACGCTATCAGACATACGCAAACGATGATTTACTTAGGCTACTAGTCCACCCACAAAATTGTGGTGTAAATAAAGTACATATATAGATCATCAAATCAGATAAATTTACATCATTTTACTACAATTGTTTCATCCTAAAGGTTTGTGGCAATGGCGTAGTCCAATTTGAAAGTGAACGTTTCAACCGATGGCCTTACAAATTTGGTCAAAGATACTGGCTGAGATACGATCCAATTCTGGCACCCTATTGGAGCAACATAGACCTCGTAAACTCGTTTGTCACTGGACCCTCAAAGGTATTTTATCAGATATACTCTGACTCCATCCCAGGCGCAAACACAACGTTAAGTATGGCGACAGAAGACGTCAAGAAGCTTCTTTCGAGACCTCTTCCAACGAATTTTAGCGCATCTTGGGTCCTTGTTGTTACCTGGGAAAATCTCCGTCCTCGGGAATATACAGCAGCTTCACAAAATTTGGTGAGATGATGGATTGTTTTTATACAAATATCCTACATATCTTAAAAGCTTAAAATGAAGGCGGATCTTATTCTAAACGAAGATCTTATTGAGTTCCATATTTTGTTTTCATTTCTCAAAAGTTGTACCAAATAGACGAGACACACTTCATTTTTGTGTATTGTCAATGGATGTTTGTCTCTCCATTCCAGCTAAACACGTTTCAGGCGGTCATTATTACCGACGGAGTTTACGCCTTTGTCATGTTTAACTACCCTAAAGATGGCATACAGTGGTCCGCCCCAACTAGTGTGTAAGTACCATGGTCACCTTTAATTACCATTAAAAATTCCAAACGTTTTGTGTTATCCTTGATTTACCCGCATTCTCATTTCTTTATCTCGTTTCCGTACTGTTTGCATTTCTTCATTCTTGGATAACTTTCTTTTAACCCAGGTCCAATTATATACACTACACCAACTACAGAGGTCTTCCTGTAATGGGATGGAATGCTGGAGATGACACTGGGAACTTGTTTAACTATAAAAGGTTGGTAGGTTCGTTTCCAATGATGGGCTTTCATGAAAAATTCTGATAATGTTAACGGTTCTCTAATTACTCAACTTACAGATCAGAAACAGTTGGGATGGAAAGCATCGACAGTCTTCCGGGAAACACAGCTATCACTGGAAAGTGGTTCTTCAGACTTGAGAACTCAAAAGGAGAACAAGACGCCATTCAGAAGTGCCTTCGCTGGTTTAACAATCAGCCAGATCCTGCGTCGTACAGGGATGCTGTCGAGCCATGTCCTTGCACTCTGAGGCAAGCTTTCTTCGACGAACGATTTCAGTGGACCGCACCAGAAGCACGTTTTACCTACTGTGTGTATACTAGGTTTCCCTCTGCAGCCAACAGAGGCCGACAGTGCTGTTACCACACCAGGTTTGACGGCCGGTTTGGTGCTCTGATCGTTGGCTACCCGAATGGAGGAGTTATTCACCGGTATCATAAGCTGGCTTCGAGATCACTTGCACTAAAACATCAATTCAGTGACGTCTTGGGCTTTAAATATTGCTGCGTACAGTCCAAACTATGTCAACGATTTTACAGAAAGCGACCATCAGAAGGATGCGAGAACTACCTTCCCCCAGTGTGGAGTAAGTTGTTGTTGTTGTTCTTTTTTTTTCAGTGAACTGCTGGGCTAAATACTGTTTATAAAATATGAATCAAAAGGGCAAACTGCGACTTTGGGAAGATGCAATAGTAAGAGCTCTTCGAGCGTCGTGAGGCCAAAAATTGAAGAACACTTAATTACTCGAACAGGTAAAACCATAAACAACTGACATCTTTTTTTGTGCATTTGTTTGCGGATGACGGCGCAATGAGTGCTATTGGGTCGAAAAAAAAAAA